TAAGGCATTACTGAAAAAAAAAATTTCACAGCTGCTAAAGGAACTCGAGAAATTAATATATGTAAAGGGAAAGGTGCCCTTGATCAGCGCACTGCGCGGCGTTGGTTTGAAAAATTTAGCAGTGGAGATACGACGTTAGAAATGAAGATGGGTTTCCGGCAACCGTTAATGGATATTGATGAGGTTCTGCAGGCAGCTTTTGAGTGAAATTCGTCCACGACTACTCGCGAACTGGCCAGGGAGTGTGACGTGCCGAAAGATTTTGTTAGTCGCCATCTAGTTTTCATGGGAAAGGTGAAAAAGTGCAGTAGACTGGTACCTCACTGCCTTACTCCTCAGCAATAGGTTACAGCTAAGAGGTCAGAAATTTGTGAACATTTATTGAAAAACCCTTCTAATATGAGATTCCTGCCTAGTGTTGCCCAAGTGCAAGACCGAGACGAGTCTTGGTCTTGCAAACTCAGTCTTGGTCATGGTCTTGGTCTTGCGCAAGACCCTCGCAACAGTCTTGCAGTGACTTATTAGCTTATTACTATAGAGATATTACTGTGTTTTTTTAGATAGGAGAAACCTAACTAAGCCCTAATGGCAAATTAGAGGAGTTAAATGCAAAAGTATATTGGTTAAACCAATTATTAACATATAGTAACGAAGATTGTCAAGTATTTGTAACTATTTTGCTTTAATTTTTATTTAAAAAATCGATTTTTTTTTACCAGTCCTGGTCTTGCAACAGTTAGTCGCCCTTGGTCTTGGTCTTGCTAAGTGCAAGACCAAGACCGATTTTGGGCAACACTACTCCTGCCTCATCCACCATATAGTCCAGACCTCGCACCTTCGGATTACTACTTATTTAGATACATGACCTATTTTCTTCAAGGAAAAACATTTGATAATCTTGCGAAAGTTAAAATTGCGGTCCAGTGTTCCCAAAGAATGTTATCATCGTGGGATTGAGCAATTGGATAGCAGATGGCTAATGATAGTAGATAACAATGATAGGACTATACTTTGAGTATTAATTGTTTATATCATAGAAATAATAATAATACAAATATTTGGTTGAAAACGGTCTCTTTTTTTTATACATCCTATTATTTGTTCCATGATATCCAGGACCTGCCTTAGGTTATGCATGCATGAAGTAGACCCAGCCATCACAGATTTGAAGTCATATATTTATAGTGGATTTCTTTTTTTCCGAAAATGAAAGATTTTGTACCACCATGCCACGAGTAATCAGATCAAGAATAAACCAAGACGTAGATGAAAGTTGTTGGTCCTACTGTACAATGTCACTCCACTATGATAGATGGAACATAGCTTCATAACTCTGTAAAAAGGATCCTGAGAATGTCCGAGTGTCTCCTAAAGTAGGCAAGGTTGGTCGAATCGTAAGGTAAAGTCCCGACCTCAACTGATAAAGATTCACTTATGGCTTGTTTATCTCTTCAGAGCGAGCTGTTGCGAGCGGGATTCGAAAGGAGCGATGGAATTGCAGCTAATTAGCGCTCCAATTTTTACTGAAAAGAACCAGTTTAGGAGTTCGTCCAAGTTGTAAATCGCGATGTAAATAACGGGAGATTATACGGTAACCACGTTGTCAATCTTTGGCTATTCTATTTATAGCGTGGTCATGAAAACTTTGCCCACTCCTCAAATTAGAGTAACACTTGTATAGTGGTAGCAAGTATTGTATTAGGTCCCTGGGAATTTGCGTTTACAGGTTTTTCTGGCTAGGGAGGTATGTAAGCAGTGATTTCGGCATCGCAACTTCGGATTCAATTCATCTTAATATTATCACAAAATGACTCATTTATGTATCCTTTTTAATTCTTTGTTATAGCTACATCTTTTTTCCCTAAAAACATATTTACTAAACAAAAAAACAAGACACTCAAGATTCTTTCTTATGTTGAAATGCCCTGATACATAAAACCAAGTTAACTTGCCAGTAGTTGTAATGAGTAGTGTAAGGTATCCAACAACGTCAATTTTAAATATCTAGTAATATTTAAATATACCTAATTCTAAAAATCTACCAAGGCATTTAATTAGATCTACAAAGACATTCCCTTAGGATAACCTGTGGTTCTAATTTATATTATTAGGCCTTTCAATTATTTTATATCATTATGCTTGAATTAAACAAAAATTTTAAACTACTATATCATTTTTCAGTTTCAGGTTACATATTCAAGCTATGTCTGTTCTGGGCCTAAGCCTGCATGTTTTTCTACCTATGATCCTGTTTCAACCAACGATATAAGAGATGGCCCATTCTGCAGTAAGCAACCCAAAGAAACCTTCTTATTATTCAGACCAAAGCATTTACATCGATTTCAACCTTTTTTTGTAAAGCAACATAATTTTTGTACGCCGACATTATTTCAAAATCCTCACACATCCGTTTCTACCCCTATTGATCCAGAAAAAAGAATCACAGAAAATGTCTGTGACACAAAATCGCAAGAAGTAACTCAAGTTAATAACGTTCCAGAGGTACAAATGGTGGTCGAAACTACTTTATCTGGTCCAGAAGAAACTGTTTATGAAGATGAAGCTTCCAAACAGTGTTCGCTTGTTGATACGCAGGATAGAGATAGCGAAGATCTGTCAAATGAACCTTCGCCTGGAGATGAAGTAGTTTCGGCATCATGTCCTACTTCAGTAGACACAGAAGTGCAAGAAGATGGGAGTTCTGTGAATCTCTCTGATAATAATCCTTTTGGCCAATGTTCTTCTACATCAGGCCCGCTAAATGAAGAGACTCCGCTTAATCCGTCAATTATTCCTGAAACGGATAGAGAAATCTCTATACAACAAACAGAAGCTCTACAATCAGACTGTGTATCAGAGCCAAAATTCGACGAATGTTCAGAGCATCCTAATGGGCCAGCAGTAGGATCATCAGCTACAACACAGCTTGAACAAGTAACAATAGGAGAGGCACAAGTATCTGGCGAGCCCATATGCGCACAACGAGAAATTCCTCAATCATTTCCAGCTCGGTCTATTTCACTGGATACAGCTTGTGAAAATGTTTCCTCCGTGAGCGCTGCTGAGTCTGACGAAAGTTCACCTCTGCTACTGAACACAGAATGTATAAGTTCAACCACAACGCCTGCTGTAAAAGAATCGTTTTCAGTAACAATGCCTACTGCAACAGACCTGGATCAGATCACATGCACTCACGAATCTCCTGGAATCACCAACAAAGCGGTCACAGAAAATCCGATGTCCACGGCCTTAACTAATCAATGTACGAATGTTCTTTCAAATATGCTTACTGGGCTCTCGACAATCAGCACTAAAACATCACCAAGCCTTGCCAAACCTATTTATGAAGAGGTGATTCGTCATGTACCAACTGTTCTGAATGTTGTTAGACACCACCTAGTTGAAACAACACATCATGTGCCAATAGTTGAAAAGATCGTTCAACATGAACGACAAGATATAATCAGACATATTCCAGTTGTTCAAAAATTCACTAGGAATGTTGTTGATTGTTGCACAAAACATATACCCGTTGTTCAGCACCGTGCAAGAACTTTTGAAGAACGGTATATTGAGCATGTGCCTCACACTGAAAAAATAACTAGACCTGTGATAGAAACATTAGTAAAACATGTCCCTGTTGTATTTAGCCGGTACAAACCTGTTGTACATCACAGAATACGTCACGTACCGACAGTAGAAACCAGGTGTGTTCCTGTCGTTGAAGAGAGCATTACAACGGTACCAGTTAAGCAAAAAGTTATTAAACACGTCGTTGAGGATCGGATTCAACCAATTCTTGAAAATTTGGGAGCATCTACATTGGAAAGAACACTAACTCCTCCTAGTGCTGTATTCTCAGGATCATCTCATGATCATCTTTGCACGTGTTAATATAATCATAATTCTATCATGACATACATTATGAAGTGATTAGTGTTCTCGCATGATTACCGGTCCTATACAAACAAAATAACTTACATATGAACAGTGTCAAGTGATTTTTTTTTTAATCTTAAAAGTCAAAATGAAGTTTGACCGAGAAGATACGAGTGTACATAGTTATTTAGTAGCAGATAATATTTATATTTGTTTTATTTTTGTCGACAAAATAAAACTTACAAATTAAATTAACTTATTGTGATAATATATTGTTAATAAATATATACATTTTCTTATACATGATAGTTTCTTATTTTTATGTTAGTATCTCCTTGCAATTTCAAATAATTCTTGTATATAAAATAAATTCTAATTCTTAAGATACAATCATAGAGTTCTGATGTTTCATTGATAATTCGAAAAGTAATCTTCATCTTGCATTTTTGTAAGTGAAATATTTTATCCTTGCAATAGAATTCTGATATTAATATAATTAATCAAACACATCAAGACCGGTGATAATTGTGAAATGATAAGAAATTGACATTTATGATAATTTTTAATTATGAGAAAAAATGCAAAGGACTGCTTAAGCCATAATAATACTTTATAATGTATATTTAAGAGTGTTGTAAAATTACAACACGCCGGGCAATGCCTTAATATAATTATCAGTAGGAGAACGGACAGCCAACTGCCACATTAGAATTTTTAGATATAACACTGTTGAGAAGTCTTAGTAAACGGCATTGTATTCATATTATATATTTTATTTTAATTTCACGTTAAAAAAAATACCGATATCGATTTCAGATTGAACAGAGATCGGTGAGATATCATAGCAGATGTATTAAAAGTAAGATTTAATTATTTATCTACGTCCTTTGATAACTTCTTTCTTATTATTTAATCAAAGGTAAGAGTTATTTTTTAGGTATTGGTACTTTATGCTCATTGATTAATCCAGAAAAGTTTGCCATCTACAAACACATTTAACTGCTATCTTGAATCACTATAATCTAAAACATTGTCAATGAACTTTCGTCCAAGGGGTTAGATAATAATTTATTTGAGGATTTAGGAAGTGTAAACAATTATAAACTCTTATATTACTTTTCCAGATTTTATTCTTTTGAGAATAAATTAAATAAATAATTTAAATAATTGGTGACATTGCATTAACAGCAACAGCCACATCCACAGCATGGAGGTGGGCAACAGCCACAGCATGGGGGTGGGCAGCAACATGGAGAACAGCAGCAAGATGGGCGAAGGCGCTGCTCAACACAATGGTGGACTTCGCACTGCTTTACAGGGACGCAGGAAACTTGGGATTCGACAACTGGGCGGCAACGACGTTCACATACTGGCACGCACTTCACACTCTGGTGGCAAACTGGACGGCAGCGGCGTTCACAGACTGGGACATGTTTGCAGCAGGATTCTTCGACGCAACGGACGCACTTTTCGCAGATTGGGACGTGTACAGTGTAGGGTTCGACTACAGTACGGCAACGATGCTTGCAGACTGGAACATGGCGGGTTCTGCATTCGACGACGGGTCTGCAGTATTTCTGTACAACGGGTACGTGACGGGTGCAACATTCTTGCTGGCAAGATACGTGGTTCTGGACAACTGGAACACAACGAGTGCAGCATTCTTGTCTACAGCTGAGCTTCTTGTGGACTACAGGCTGGCACTTGACTGTTTCTTTGCATACAGGGCGGACACAGGTCTCAACTTGGCAGCATGGTTGACAGCAACAGCCACAACCACAGCATGGAGGAGGGCAGCAACAGCCACAACATGGAGGTGGGCAGCAACAGTCACAGCATGGAGGTGGGCAGCAACAGCCGCAGCCTGGTGTACAGAGACCAGCCTACAAATATAAATTTTAATTAGTCCTCTACCACATTTCCACTTCATATCGAATTCATGTAAAGCACTCTTTTGGAACAGGGGTTTTATATTTATTATATTTACATTAAGAAAAACAAATTAAGTTGGGATAAAAGAAGCTAGGAAGAACAATTCATGTTGAGTAATTAATTTATTTTTTCTCATTTCATTACCTGGAATGCGGCTGCGAGGAGAAGGAGTGTTCCGATCATGTTGATCTAATTCTTTCGTCGGTTTGGCTCTAAAGAATGTGACAAAGTGTTTTATACTAGCGGAAAGACGCTTCAAATCTCCGAATCATCACGCCATCAAAGACCTGTTATGGTGGGACTATCTTCCCCTAGTGGCGATATCAATGAGAATTCATGTCCTATCTCGCCCCTATCAGGTCCTATGCTGTAAACTGCCCCAAGCCCTGCCAATCAAGGCACCGATAGCCCCCTTATCAGGGAGTGGTATCATTACTACTACCTGCCCAGTCTCTGCTTGGCTTCCTCTCGGCTTTGTTTTCTTTCCAGTCGTTTCCGCTTCGTCCGGAAATTAACATGCCTGTATAGCCTGCAATTATTTTTATTTTACAACCAACAAACTATAAGGAAACAAGGTGGAGATAACTTTTAAAGAAGAAAAATTATTTTTCGAATAAGATCCTGAACAAAGATTATTACACAGCCATAATAGAAGTTTAGAATTAATAAAAAATATAAATCAGTAATGAAAATAATCTGTCATGAATTCATGACTAAACTTTTTAACCATCAAAATAATTTTTACAGAGAATAGATAAAATACAATTAATATTCAGTTATATTCATAGGTGGATTTACGGTGGGGAGAGGGCTTTCGGGCTGAAGTCCCCCCCCCCAAAAATGGTAAAATGTAACCATGTTTTATGGTAAAAAATATTAAAAAATTATGACTTAAAGTATTATTGCTCGTTTAATTACATTTAATAGGACTTCAAGAATCACTTAAACACCATTTCATATAGATAGTTAGTATCTTTCTGTTTTTCTAAAGTAATTATCGTTATATATATGAAAAAAAAGCTTCCGGGCTGAAGCCCCCCCAAAATTAAATCCTGGATCCGCTAGTGGTTATATTATAATGATAAAAATATTCCAACAATCACAAAGATTTTTGAGTTCAGTACTTGATAATAAAATATCTGGAGGTAGTGTGGCCAACCTTCAAGCACAACTACCTAGTTTCTTTCCCTCTCCCCAAACCTAGTGAAGAATCAGGTATTGACATTGTAGATGGTGGCAATGGCTCAGAAGGGTTTCTCAATTCCACCCCAGACCCAGTTAGAGGTCCACTATTTCAAAACTGATCCTAAAGTTAATTTAAGAAATTTTAGTGGCTAAGAGTTGAAAAGATAATGTAGACTATATTAAATAATCTGGTGCGTGCAACACACAACTCTCACTTACCGCTCTACTTTGATCAAAATTATTTTCTGGCAATCATAAAATTTTTGATCTGCATCTTTAATCGAACTAGCTTAACTGTTAATTATAGATTGTACAATCTGTTGATTATGGATTGTGCACAATTCGTTATTAAAATGATATTTTCCATTGCAAAGTTTACTATAATGGAATTATGAGATTTGCATTGCCTGTCATAGGGAGGTCAAAAGTTGTCACACTAATTGTAAGTGTACACTGTTAGGATATCACAAAGGGGAAAATTCATCAAATTATTCACTAATTTAATTTTCTAAAAGTTACATGATGATTTATCGAAATAAATGGACAATAGATACCTAATTATTTAAATATATCAGATCTAGAGTTATTAAACTATAGTAAATGTATTTAAGGTTCTAAACATATCGATGAAATATTTTTATATTTCATTTCTTTTTTCACCCAAGCATGGAAAAATAGCAATGAAATAGTTTTTTTAACAATGTCATTTCCTTGATTGGATGAATTTCAAATACTTTTGTTCAAATTGAAAATCATTTTTAAAAGTTTCCTTTGAAACATTTGATTTACGTTAAATAATGTTAGTTTTCAGAGATTATTATTTATATTTTTTTCATCACTCTCAGTTGCCTTCTACAAATTTATTTCTTAGTTTTTATTTTTATAAAATTCCCCGCTTTCCAACGATATATCAAACGTATACCTTCTGACTATTATTTCCAGAGATTCATTTTTGACCTGGAAAAGAATTTTTCTTTTTTCACCTTTATTCAATAATCAAATTCATTCAAAACTTATATTTGACTTTTTTTTTTATTATTTATATCAATAAGAAATAGTTAATTATTTAAAATAAACCAAATTAAAGGTACTTTAGAGGAAGACATGTTGAAAATTGCACATTTAAGCCCTGTAATATGACATCAATGGGGAAAAGACCGCAATGACATTAAAGACAACCTAATTATACATAACCTAATATAACCAAAATCATTAGAGCCTTCTTTGAGAAAATTGTAAAAATGTGTATCACCATTGATATAAAGTGTCACTTCCAGAAAGCTGATTCTGACAAAAATATTGCTGTCACATCTCAGGCATATATAAACCTTAAATGTGCAATTTCACTTTCAAACTACTTTTCGTTTTTGAGCTAGACAACACAAACACAGACCATTTTGCAGGACTTGGTTATTTGGACTCAGGGGACCTCAAACGTGTATTTCCGTTGAAAACTCAGATTAAAAAATTTTCACGATTGCAATACTTTCCCTTACTATATATTACATATATAGGTAAGTGAAAGTAAAAATATTGCTGTCTTCATCATAACAAAGTAATAATAAATATTATATGTATATATTTGTATGATATAATATATATATATATGTATATATATATATATATATATATATATATATATATATATATATAGAGAGAGAGAGAGAGAGAGAGAGAGAGAGAGAAAATATAATGAAAATAAAAAATGTTCCTGATTTCTATAAATGAAGTAAACAAAAAACAAAATTTTTAGACCAGATAATTATATTACATCTCAGTTCGAAGATGAATGGTTTGATTTAAGTTCATTCGGATAAGATAAGAGTAACATTCAATATTTTTTTTGTAATCACCTTTAAAGAGTTTTTTTTTATTTTATTCAGTGTTTAAACTTTATTCTCTTTTTCAAAAACGGTCTCCTGTTGAAATAAATATAAATACAATATCAAACCACTTAAACTTCATCTTCAAATTCTTAAAGTTTTTTATTTATTATTTGTAGCCAAATATTTCTTGTCACTTCATCACTTTCCAGAAATATTCCAGGAGAAATATTTGTATCTCTCCCTATTCTCATATTTTGTGCAACGGACAAGTAAGTACTCATAGTATGAATATACATGCCAGCACTTAAGAAATATTGAGGTGGCACAGGTTAGTGTAACACGATATATGTGTACAATGCGTGAGAGGAGGGAAGGAGAAGAGTATATATATATAAAGGTAATTATTTTACTAAGTAATATGATATAATTATTATTTATTCAGTTTTTGGAATGGCTGGTCCATCTTCATAAAATATTGAAAGGAGGGTATAAAGTGACTGGCCCTTCAATGCTAGGACCTATGAATGTGCAAATCGACTTTTTCTTTCTATTGATGTGCTACTTTTCTCTTTAATCTGTTTCATTTATATATATTTTTAAAATATTTCATTGCCCATCAAGAACAACCCTCTTGCTTGGATATATTCTTACTGAAAGGTGTGCAGAATTAGAACAATTTTTAATATCTCGGCATAACTTTCTGGTATAATTTTTCAATCTCTTTTAGTATCTATTGCAAATATTCATTTGTTGCTTTACTTTTCTGAGGCATTCATATTTTTTTTAGAAATTTTGTTCATGTCTATCATATTATACCAATTATCTTTTTTTTTTTCATACACTTCCAAGTATATGTTTCTCTCTATAATTTAAGTCTTCATGATATAATACCTAGTACATCATTTATATCTTATCTAACATATCATGGTGTCCTTTACCTCTTTTTTTTTATTAATTATCGGTCACCAGTAATATAATAAGGATGAAGATTTTTAAAAATTTTCATCATGGAGATTTTTTTGTATTTCTCAAGATGCAGATCCATTTATTTATTGGTTAACCGCCAAAACTTTAATTAATTTACTTTTCTATTTATCATAACTTCTGTGTCTAAAAAATTTTCCATATAGACATTAAAGAATGTACTTATCCATTTATACCATTCCTATCTCCTCCATTTCTTGTATTGATAACACAACTACCCTGAATTGATCGACCAAGAATGTTAGTGTGTTTTATCTTCCATATAATTTTGATTAGGTGTATTGGTTATTAGGTTCGAAGTGAGTGGCAGTATCCTATTATTCCAATTATATGGAAGTGGACTAAGTTTGTTAACCTAATTTCTTTGTGAAAGTTACAATAAGGAGATTTAATTTTGTCTCAGACATTTTTTTCAGCATTGATAATAATGAATTGCATATCTTTATAGTATTAAACATGTCAAGATTTCAATTTTCATTATCTATTTGCTTAATTTTCTGGCAATTATAGATAATATTATTCTCGATCTATTTGGTTTCTGTTTCAATGCTTTATCAGTAAATTGACATTGAATATACTATGTCAGAACATTAACTAATGGTTAGCAACATTTTATAATGAAAAACATTATATGTTAACTTAAAAACTATATGTTAAAATTATATGTTAACTCCATATTTTTTTTTTTTTAATTCAAGAAGAATAGATAAAAGGTTTTAAAACTATTAATATCTTCATTGAATATCCCTTTTTGTATGATTATTTCCATCCAAGCTAATTGAAGAAAGAGAATTTAATTATTCTGAGACCATAGTTTTAGAGCATTAATCAAAATTTACATGGTTATTTCATGAGTTCTTTGGTAGACATCAATTCATTATCAATGACATCTCTTGTCTAAATTTCTTTTGTATAAAGATCGAAAATAGAGTCGTAAATGTTTCAAGATGATTATTGGTAATGTGTTTTGAATCAAATATTTTTTCTACCCAGAAAATTTTCTGAGGATTCAAAAAATATGAAAAATAACAATAATTATTTGTACAAAAAGAAGAAGAAAGAAAAACACAAAGATTTTATGACAAATAGGTTACTATGTGAGGAAATGTCTCCAAAGAAAATAGATGAACAAGAGGTATAGAAGTCGAAAAATTTCTGATTCACTAATATTAGGGATTCACCAAACCTACTTTATTGTTACCTT